TTTCAACTTTGAAGTTTCATTAACAAGCTGGTACTAACTGATATTGCAATTCTTATCATTCCTGGAATTATCTTTCCCCGTGGCAATCATAGCCATTGACTAATTTGATTCCGGGGCCGTCGGAGTTAAAATAGTACTTCAAGACCCACTTTAAATCAAATTGCATATACTGGCACATAGAATATTGCTTAGATAGATCCGTTTATTATTTATACTCATGCACATATATTAGGTATGATTATGTCAATACCTTCTTAAGACAATGCTAATTTTTCATATTTGTAATATGTAGGACAGAGTTTGTGTGTTACATGGCCTCATTTTTCATAATACGCAGATGAAGTGGGTAATAGTCCTTGATTCATGGATGATGAGATGGGTTCACAGAGGTTGTACGATTTTCCCAAAGCCTCGTATCTAACTGGCCACTGGGGACTAGAATCTGCCCATTCTCCCGGTCTGCCCACAGCTGCTGTCCACTCCGGCGGGGTGGCAGCCTCGCCTCTGGGAAAATTTGGTTTTCAAGGCCTCAGAGAGCCCCGAGTCAGAATATAATTGCAAAGGCCCATTTGGGGCACACTGGTCCACACGTAAATACTGGTGGTGCTATTACTGTGCTGAGGCCCTCGTCTGTTTCCAGTGATTTGGCTGTACCCCAGAAAAGGACTGGGGTGGGGGGTTTCCTACCAGAGGATGTGACTCAGTCTGGGTTTCAGAGTCTCAAATAATCAATATTTCCATGTAAAGATAACCATGTGTATCCTTTCGTGCATCCACTCTGACAAACACTGCCGCTCCCAGGGATGTCCTCAGGCCCTTCTGTCCTGCTCTGACCCACGTGAAACCTCAGTCCGAGGCTGTAGCCCTCTGCCCCAGGACAAGCAGACCCTCTTTGCCACGCGCGCCTTCACAGTACAGAGACCCTTGGCTCCTTCCACCCTACCTTCGGCTGGACCCGTGCTGCAGACTGAACTCGGGTGTCATTAGCTGTAGGTGCAGAGCTGGAATGTGTCTGCAGGGAAGGAATGCAAGCTTGTCTCTCATAAATAAACTTATTTGAAAAAAGAATGCGAGGCTGTGTCTTTTTGGTTTTCAGATTTTCAGACTAACATGAGGCTCAAAACCCAGGAGGTACCCAGTAAATATTTGTGCAATGAAGAAGACAGGGAGGGAGAGAAAGAATGAATTGATTAGCGAATGAATGTTTCCACTGCTGAGTTTATAGAGAAGGTTCATTGTGAATCAGGATGAAGAGGCAGGCAGGACGCTCTCCTCTGTCTCCAGCCCCACCTACCTGAAGTGACTATCCAGTCAGAGCAAGGATCCCACCGCATGGACCTCCATCCTAGGTGCATCTCACATGTGTGTCTAGATTGATTTCAGAGTTGTAGGAAGCAGGTGATTCACTGACGGGTCTTGCCTCCCACTCTTGTGATATAAATATATGCAATTACTCTTTCAAAATCACGTTTTACTCTTAAAAAAAAAAAGAATCAGGTGGGAGGTTAAAATAACTTTTTTTTTCTTGTTGGAAAATGGTCTTTATCAGTTAAACGCTGTTGTTGATTTCTCAGAAATCCAATCAATCCAAGACCAGGTATGTTTCAAAGATGATGATGACAATACTACACTTTCTTCTGGTCCGCTCTGGCTTTTACTTCTTACTTTAACTGTACACTAGTACCAGACAACACAGCTAATGGAAAGGAACGGGCCCCAGACAAGGTGCCTGACCTCCCTGAGCCTCAGTTTCCCTCATTGTGAGTGACTGATTATTTTTGGTGTCAGATTTCAGCCTTTCCGCAGGCTCTCTGCCTTCTCCTAGGAGAAGGAGCCCGAATTTTCGTGATCATCACTTGCTCCTTGGGACATTTGCTGAGTCCCTACAAGCTCGTAATAGATAAGGTACTACTGGGTGTCTGGGACTTGGAACATCATTCTAAAATCTCCAGCTCTGGAAAGGCACCATGGAGAACTATTTGTGCTTCCTGGGCTTGAGTTAGAATCTGGCTTTGTAACTTAGTTTCTGTGATATTGGGCAAATCTTTAAAATTTTCTGATCCAAGATTTCCTCACATGCAAATTGAGGTTAATGCCCTCTGTGTAGAAAAAAGTTTGCAAAGATTCAGTGAGAAGATATTTGGCTTCTCTGACCCTATATTCTATCATTGCCTGTCTTGCCCGCTCCTTGATAGTCCTTAAATATTCCAGGCAGGCTTCTGCCTCAGGGCCATTATACTTTCTGTTCCGTCTACCTCGGATGCCCTTCCCTCAGTTAGCCACATGCTTTTCTTTGTCACTTGGCTCAGATGACCTCAGTTCTTTGTCAGAGAGTCCCTGATCATTCTCTCCTGCCACCAGCATTTTCTATCCCAGTATCCACTTTTATTTTTCTTCATAGTACTTACTCTCTGAAATACCAGGTTTTACTTCCTTATTTCTCTATTCGCTTCCCCTCAGCCCACCATGAGAGCAAGGACTTTCTCCTTACTTCGCTACTGTATCCCCAGGATGTGAGACAAAAAAGTGCCTAGCGAGTAGTAGGTGCTCAGTAAATATCTGGTGAATGAATACCTCTGTGTGAAATAAAGTAGACAATTCACCCAGAAAATGCAAGCCATCTTGCATTCTATGAATCTTCTTTTTGGAGAGAAGCAGAAGAGAATGGGCCCTTCGCCATCAAGTCCACTGAGCCTGTGCTTGGAGAGCAGCTAAGTGCCATGGGGTGTGCATGTTTGAAGAGACGGCACCCCGAGAGACAAGGAGATGCCCAGAGAGAGAGAGCAAGGGGATGGAATCATGGGGCAGAGAGAGTCACAGAGAGGGAGATAGAGCTAGGGAGACCCCAAGCAAGAGAAAAACCAGAGCGACGGAGCAGAGATGAAGAGGGAGCAGAGGAAGGGAGGGGAAATCACACGTGGGAGCAGCAGGAGACTGAGCTGGGAGGGCTCTCCCTCTCACCATCCCTAGTCCATCCATCCAGAGCCTGTCTTGCACCTGAGTGCAGGGAGAGCTTTGCATCATCACCCTTGGTGCTTGGGGAGCCAAACTCTGTCCTATTTACTCAGCTCTCCTGGTCAGGTCTGAGCTCCTCTGTGAGCACAGCATCCTTGAGTGCTCCCCCAGAGGCTGGGAGTCCTGGCAGTACCAGGCTAGGGACAAGCTAATTAATATTGGAAAGGTCTTAGTGGCTTCTGCTAATTGCCATGGCCTCTGAAGGTCTTAGTGTGCTGTCACCTCTCTCCAGCCCGAGCTCCCAGGGGCCACATCGTCCTCCAAGCGGAGGTCAGTGAACACCAAAGTGAAAGGTTCACCACATCTTTGCATCAGGTCTGGAAGTCATGACAAAGAGCAGGCAAGAATAGGGACTTCCCTCTGGTGCCCAAATAGCCCTTGAGCATAGAATCCCTACACGCATAAGCCCATATCAACCTCACAGCTGTCCTGCAAGGGAGGTGCTTCTTCGAACTCCTCTTGAAACTGGGGAAACCGAGGCTCCCACGAGCAACACGTTCAGAGGATGCCACAGGCAGCTGCAAAAACCAGAATCGGGGTTGAGGTTGCTCTGATCTCAAATGCCCACACCTGCCACTACCCAGCACTGTCCTCAGGACAGAACTCTGAAGCGGGATGCTGCATTTGATCTACAGGCCCAACCATCCCTTTACTGAAACTCATGAGGCCAGATGTGTTTCAGAAATCAGAATTTGGTATATTTTAGGAAGTTAATATGTCTCATATATATTCATATTAACTATATATGTTAACATATTAACATATATATTTGTATACCATGTAACGTACCCCTTAGGATTCCGGGGCAGCACCTCGTGATAGAACACATTAATGTTTCTGCAGCAAAATGTATGACTAGTCACACTACCTGGGAAAAAGAAAGACTATAAACAGCCTTATATTCATTCTGTCAGGTCAGGTCAGGTTTTTGCCACCTGATAAATAATGAAAATGATTTCTGGTTTATAAGGCTTTTTTGGAATTGTGACTATAACATTATGGGCTGGTACAGTCTAGGAGGCAGGAGAAAGTATTTCTTTTTTTTTTTCCTACATGACAGATGGCACGCATGGCAACCTGAAGACCATACACAGTTTCAGTCTATCAACGAAATGTCATTTGGAAGTAGAACACACGTGCAGAGCAGAGAAGTTTCTCTAACAGAGCAGTGGAAGTCAGGCTGCCATCAGCCTGGCCGGGTTCGGGTGATACTCTCGTGGGCACATCACCCAACCTTAAGGTGCATGGGGATTCACCCTGACCTCCTCCCGGAGACACAGCTTGGACCCAACAAGGGTCCAAGCACAGGGTCTGAGGCTCAGTAAATGTTCTGCACATGGTGCCTCTGACTGTCATAACCTGGAAGAGCCTAGGGACACTCAAACCAAATCTCTATTAAATGAGTAGCTGCCTGTACCCTGGGCATTCAGTGAATGGTCATTCATTTCTCCAAGCCTTTCTCCAATCAGGGTCTTGGCAACACGGTGCATTTAATTTGGAGCGGTTTGCAGATGTGCATGGCTGTCTATCATCAAGACTTATGTACCACCCTTGTTACAAACATGGAGGGTGGAGTGAGGCAGAGATCACAAGGACATGGTGCTTAGATTCTAAGTCTTTAATTCAGAGCATCCTCTCCAAATTCCGGAAGAATCTGTTACCCGACGCAAGGCAGCTTACAAGAAAGGAGTAAGCGCCTCCCCATATTTAGACCAGCGATCTTACCGCAGGTCTGCGCTCGCGTGGGAGACAGGCTATTTTGTCAAAGCCCCAAGAAAACTTCTTCCTCCTCTCTGATACAGTTGCTACTTCCTTTACAGTGTGAAGAGCAGAGGTGTGGCTCCCATCCCCCCCGGCCATGTGGCCAAGGTGAAGAGCAAAGAAATAGGCTGGGTTTTCGCAGAGGAATACCAAGGCTGTGATTACGTAACCAGGCGCGCTGCACACCGGTTCCTGCTCGCAGGCGGGTGGGAACGAAGGCCATCCCAGAGCATCGAAGCAGGGCTCTGCCTTCTGTGAGTCTGAGTCCAGCTGCTGGAAGCCAAACTTCCTGCAGAGTGAGAACCCAGTAGCCCTTTCTGAGATGGGGTGAGTGTGGAGTCTCCCTGTAGAATCCCTGCTCAGAAAGGATTTGCTGTCTTAGTTTGCTCATCTGTAAAGTGGGCTACATCACAGAGCCTTGACGATGTCAGGAACTCAGGCATGGAAGGAATCTAACTTATAACAATGGGACTAATGAACGGACAGTTCCTGAGTGCTCACGATGTTACAACCCTTTCCCACTGTGGCATCGATTACTTTTACCTTCTTGTACCAACAGGGAGACTGAGACACGGCATCTTGAAGAAGTGGTTTGCCCAAGATCATAGGAGTAGCAAGTGGTGGAAGTAAGGCCAAGTCTCAGGGCTGTCTGACTCTACACTCACATTAATTCCCTTCACCGGTGAGTTTTAAAAACTAAAGCAACGACAAATAAGCCAATCACTGATACCTAGTAAGAGCATCAAGAAAATAGCTATTCTTCAGATCGAAATGTTCAGCTTTGCAAAGAGTGGTATAGGTAAATATTAGATGTTCATATTTATTTAAAGTAGGCATAGTTTCCAGCCCAAGGTAGACAATCAAGAAATAATTGTCGGCTTGGTGTGCATCCGGATCGAAACCTTTCTGGTGGGCAGTGGCGGCCTGAAGTGCAAAAACAGACATGCCCTGAACCAAGACAGGCAGCATAGCCCCACAGCATCTCCGATTCTCCATCCGGTGTATCCCTGGGGCCTGGAGGGGAGAAGGCTGACCTCCGAGACCTTGCAGAATGGGCACCTGTGTCTTTAACAGAGTTGCTGGCTCCTGCCTTTCCAGGGCTGCCCCCTCAGGCCCAGGCAGCCTGTTTTGCACAGCCTCTGAAGCCAGGCTGGTTGCTGCCCTGGGAGTCTCTTGGCCACAGGTGAGGTTCCACGGCCCCAGCAATGCCCAGGGGGCCAATCAGGCTGGGCCTGCATGAGGTAAGACGGAGAGTCGCCCCGTGTGCCCTGGGCTCTCTTGGAAATCTCAACAGATCAATGTCACCGTGGCTTTTAATTACCCCTCCTAGGCCTCATCATTATTTCATGGCCTCTAATACGCCCAGCGGGCAGCCCTGGGCCCAGAGATAAACAGCCACCCAGCATGACCCGGCCTCCGAAGTGGTGCCCACCCTGGCCTCCAGCCCTGGGGACGGTGGCCTGACAAGGTCCTGGCCCTGCTTAGTGCTGATCCCGTTGACACTTAGAGTATCTTGGATTAGGCCTGCTTTCTGATGCACTGGTCACTGAGGGCCTACTGTGTGCCAGGTGTTGGACTCGAGCCTAGAGGTAGGGCGGTGGGTCCCCCAGGGCTGCTCCAGATGCCTTGCCTGCATGGGTGCCTTGAGCCACCACCAACTGTCCCTCCATGCTCACAGCCATTCTCCTAGAGCAGTGTTCTCAGCCTGGGATGATTTTGCCCCTAAGGGACATTTGACAATGCCTAGAGACTCTTCCATTGCCACAACTGGGGGAGTGAAGCTACTGGCATCTATCTAGTGGGTGGAGGCTGGGGATGCTGCTAAAATCCTACAGTGTGCAGGACAGCCCCACAGCAGAGAATGGTCGAGCCCTGACGGTCAACAGAGCCCAGGACAGGAATACTGGCCTGGAGGTAACAGATGAGCCCCTAAACCCAGGGCCACTGAAGTCTACTTGTGCCACCAGTGACCTCCTAGGCCACTCCTGCCTCAGATTTATTCTTCATTGAGAGAAACCCCTCATGGCTCGCCTACTCCACACCTGTCACTGCCCCACCAGAGCTTACCTCCTGCTTGGCCTAGCCCCTTCCCGTGAACGCCCACCCTGGTTTGCTTCACCAGCTGACACCTGTTCATCTTAGAGTCCCCGCACTTCTTTAAGCCTGCCAGCATGCACACCTAGCTCAGCGATCAGCTCTCTGCTCCAAGCACCCCCAGCCCCCCCACCCCGCTCCCACCTCCACCTCCACACCGGCAAACCAACAGCTCATGTGTTTAATCCCATGCGTGGTTATGACCATGGTTGACATTCTGGGACTTGGGAATGGTTTTCATCTTTAAATCAATAGGGTGTCAACACTGTGAGAGGGTCTCTCTGTCTCCTGAAGGTGCTGGTGTGCTTCTTGGCATAAGCAAGGACCCCGTGGCACTGGGGACACAGGGACATTCAGCAGCCGGCCTGCCCCATTCCCCTGGGCCCACAGAGCCATGTGTCCAGATCCATGGTTGGGATCAGTAGTTGCTCAAGAAATACCCGTTGTGTGGATGTGTGGACAAGCCCGTCCTGTGCTCTGTGATGGGAAAGAAGAATTCAGACTGGCGAGTGCGGGGGTGTCTCCTAGAAGGTGGGGACACTGGCTTCTCGTTCTTCATCCCTGGCTCCTGCCACAAGCTGGCTTCATGGACACTCGCTGAGCTCTGCCACCACGTGCTGCCAAGCGTTGCCCTCAAAGATCACATGCTCATCTCAGGAGGTCGACCAGAAACCCTGACGCCCAGAACTCTCACTGAAAGCCTTAACCAAAATGATCCCGGAAAACTTACCTAAGGAACACAATTCTTATTTTTCTCTAAAAGAGAAGGAAAGGGGCTATAAGTGATTGGCCCAAGTTCTCCAGCTAAGAAGCGACAGAATCAGGGATCTCTGATAATGTGGGAAAACTCATCCAAACCTGCCCCTCAGCCACCAGCCCCTCTGTTTGCACGGAAGCCAATTCAGTGTGTTTTAATAACGCACCATTCTGCTCAGGGCCAGGCCAGGGCCAGGACACCAAGGAACCAGGCCTGGACCCTGCCTGATGTCACGTGTGTCAGCTCCCCAGTCGTCGAGGGCTGGCCTGAGCCCCCGACAGGCCATGGCCCAGGAGGGAGCCAGGACGGCCTGCCTGGGGTGCCCCTATGCAGTCCATGGCCCAGGAGGGAGCCAGGATGGCCCTGCCTGGGGTGCCCCTATGCAGTCATCTCCCCAGGTGTCTCCCAAAGGTGAGAGGCTGGAAGTCCTGCAGAACAGCCCAAGGGCCTCCATCATCCACAACTTCTTGTGTAATTTTGTTATGGTGTGAATTAACGGGTGGATACTTGGACATCTCACTTTAGTGCCTGGACCTCGAGCACGTGGACCTCAGAGTGTGTCCCCCTGTTCTCTGCATTCCATCTGCTGCACAAAGTGCAGAGTCTTCCATGGGGACTTTATATCACCTGGCCCACCCCTCAAGGCCCCTCGCAGGCCCCTGCACCTTGGTGGGGGGACCCGCAGATCCGTCTTTTGGGGTGAATCATTTATTCCATTGAGCTCCGTGATCTTACATCAGCGAGATAGGGAAAATAAAGGAGGCACCCCTGGACGCTGCTGGGGGGGGACCAGGCCTGGCACCCCAGAGGCACGGTGTGCAGTGCCAGGGCCACGGCCGGCTCAGAATCTGCGGAGCACAGCGGCTCTTCCTGCTTCCACACGTTTGCACCCACGTTTCCTGCTGGCTACGGTTTGTCCAGCACGGAAGGCAGAGGTGGCCGGGAAGAATGTCTCAGGGCTTCTCTGTCCCAATCCAGAGTTCCAGTGGGCTCGAAGCACAGTAGGAGAGATTCGAGCCAAGTTCCAGGCAGGTTTTCCTCCTGGGGGCTGCTGCTTGGGATCAACCTTGCAGCCCCCCAACCACACAACAAACCCTGCTGACTGTGGCAGACAGTTCCAGAAGCGTTGTGTTAGACCTTTTCCAAGTGTCCTAATTACCAGCTTATCTTCTCATGTAATCCCCAAGTCAGAGGGAATCTCTCCCCTGTGGGATTTCTCTCGCGAATTTTAAGACTGGGGCTGTCTCTGAACATGATCATCACTGAGTTGTTATTCCTTCTGGTTTCCGAATGGAAGCTGAAGCCCTGACATTTTTATCTGGTCAGTAAGATAATTAGTTAGTCAGCTGATCCTTGATTAGTCAGATTTTGAAATAGGGGGAAAAATAATTTGTACATATTTAGGAAAGATTTTGTATATAAACAGCTGGCTACAAAATCAACTTTAAAATATTTGGGTTTACTTAAGGCTAATATTATTTCAGGAAGATATCTGGAAAATTTGAAAAAAAAAAGTAGGAGTTTAGATGTTAACCAAGTGTATTTTTATTAAGTTTTCCTCCTTCCTTCCTTCCTTCCTTCCTTCCTTCCTTCCTTCCTTCCTTCC